TGAAAAATGACAAAACCAGCTATAACATTACCACTTCTCTTCACACTCCTCACTTTCATCGATGTCTCGACCGGCTCATCCAACGTATTCAACGTGGTTAGCTTTGGGGCCAAACCGGACGGTGTGACGGATTCGACTTCAGCATTCCTCAAGGCATGGCAAGGGGCTTGTGGCTCGGCAGCTTCAGCTACTGTGGTGGTTCCGAGTGGGACGTTTCTGGTGAAGGTAATAACGTTTGGAGGGCCATGCAAGAGCAGACTCAAGTTTCAAGTGACCGGAACTGTGGTTGCTCCGACAGATTACAGGGCATTTGGAAACTCCGGCTATTGGATTCTCTTCAACAAGGTTACCAAATTCTCACTTGAGGGCGGTACTTTCGACGCTCGAGCTAGTGGGTTCTGGTCTTGCCGAAAATCTGGTCAGAATTGTCCACCCGGTGTTAGGGTATGTTTCTCTTCTCTAATCTCTGCTTTCTTGCATATTATTGCGTGATACATATATTACTTTACGTAACATTGTTTTAAACACAAATATGTACCTACGCGTAATGCGTTTACGCAAACAAAGAATCTATGCCACTACCAATTAATTATGATGATAAAATGTTTTATTAATTACTTTTTCGTCAAAGCCTATTAGACCACATGAATACTATAAAAAAACGTATCAAGTTGACCGGCAAAACCAATCTTACTAAATCATTGATGCATTATTGTAGTCAATATCGTTCAATTCGGCGAACGACGTGATCATAAGTGGGGTGAAGTCAATGAACAGCCAGATCACCCATATGACCCTCAACGGTTGCACCAATGTGGTCGTCCGTAACATCAAGCTATTGGCTCCCGGAAACAGCCCAAACACCGACGGCTTTGGCGTTCAATTCTCCACCGGAGTTACACTCACCGGAAGCACCGTTCAGACTGGAGACGATTGTGTTGCTATCGGTCCTGGTACTCGCGACTTCCTCATCTCCAAACTTGCTTGTGGTCCAGGTCATGGAGTTAGGTATACACATACACCATCTAATTTCTTCATATATGTACATGTCTATTTAGTCATTATTTTATGAGATAATTACTAAATCAACTTTGGAAAATAGGTTAATTATTAGAACAATTTTTATTTAACCTTGAAACTCAACACAAGTTATAGAAGACAAATAAACCTTAGTAACAAGTTTTTATTACGAAAATGTTATTCATAATTTGTC